GGACGGGCGGCGCCGCCAATGGCTGCCGTCGCGCGAGGAGGAGCGCGGCGGTCGTCGTCGGGGTGAGGCGGCAGAGGAAGGGGAGATTGAAGACGACGGCGCCGCCGATGTGGCTGCCGTTTGGTGGGGCGGAGCGGCGGGAGACCGGGGCGGCGGAGCTAGAGCCACACGTGCGACGGCTCCCTGGTCAACTTGCGCAGCCGCGAACAAGTAGAGCCTCGCCTTCACCGCCGCCTCGCGATGACGATGGCGATGAGTTCGATCTCCGGCCGCCGCCCCGCCGCATGCATGAGCTAGAGGAGGTGCCCGGCGAGTTTCGGCAGTGAGTTTCGTCTGTGCTTGGAGGGGTGGTGGCGTGAGTTTCGGCACTTGCTTGCGACGGCGCGAGCTTCTCCTTGGCTTGGAGCTGGCAGCGGAGGTCGTGCCACACATCCATGCTCCACTCGATCCACTACCAGCTGCATGCACAAAGCTAACCAACCGATAGACTTGCTCCACTAGCTCATGCAACACATGCACGTACTAGCATAGCACAAAGCCTTAGCTAACTAACTAATTAATCATGCATGCAGCGTTGGCGATGCCGTCGTGCGAGCGCAGCGGCCGGCGAAGCGGAGGCGGCGTGCGAGCGCGGCGGCCGGCGAAGCGGAGTGGAGCGGTGGCGGCAAGCGGGCGAGCGCGCGGCGGCCGGCGAAGCAGAGTGGAGCGAAGGCGGCCTCGGGTCACGCTCCCGGCCTCCGCCAGCGTTGTCGCCACACGAGCCACGTTCTCGACGCACAGTGCGAATCCTGCCGAGCCACTTGACCAGCGTCGTCGCCACATCACCACGGTTCAGAAGCCTTAGCACGCGAAGCTGAGGAGTCTCCAGCCGCGAGATCGACGCCATCTTCCTCCTCTCCGGCTGCTAGTCCTCGCCGTTGATTTCTCTTTCCTTGGTGAGCTAGAACTCGATTCCTCGCGAATACACCTTCCTGGGGACATTGCTAAGCCCCTGGACATCTTCTTTTAGCAGCGCATCGATCGGAGTGGGCCGCCGCCGTGAAGCTGACGCCATCCGCCGTCGCCAAGCCGATCCCGAGGTCGCCGTCGTCGTCCAAGCTTCACCAAGTCACGAGCTATCTCGACTCTCGAGTAAGCACCTAAGAACGCCGACCCTCTTCCCCACCGCGTCAGTGACGCCGTCGCCGCCGCATCGGCCCTCCTCTCCGCATCGGTGATGATGGCTGTAGCCGCGCGCCGCCAATGCCGACCGCACGAGGGGGACGGGGAGGCCGGCGAGCTCGCGCTGCCCTAAGCCCGCGCGCCGCCACCCGGGAGCTGCCGTCGCCAGCCACACCACCCTCTGGCCGCGCGCGCCGCCGCCTGTGCGAGAGCAGAGAGCGAAAGGAAGGAGAGAAACAGAGAAAGAGAGAGGGTGCTGACATGGTCTCCATGACATGTGGGGCCTACGTGGGTCCCACGCTGAGTCAGCCGCCATGTGGGATAAAACCATGGTCAAAATCGCTGAAGGAACTATTGTGATCGGTTTTATAAGTTGGGGGACGCCGGATATCCGGTTTTGTGGTTGGGGGACGATTTTGTATGTGGGTAACAAATTGAGGGACCTTGCGTGTACTTTTTCCAAGAATTTTTAGCCCAGCTCTTTCGTCTACGAATTCGGCCCATCTATGTCCTAGTGTCCCGTTTCGGTTTCGGGCCTCTACAGATGGACAATGGGCCATGCGAGGTGTATGGTCCACAATGGTCCGGACCACAGGAGCCATGCCAAGCGAAATCTCTGCGTCTAAGACATACTTCGTACTTCCTTTTGTCACGAAGGAAGAAATTAATTCATCCGCATGTAGCAAACACTAGGGAACTATACGAATGCATCTAACCAATGAGTATTAACATGTTGGCTCAGGTTTTGATCAATAATTTAATTTAGCATCATACAACGATAATCCCTTTACATAACATTTAAAATATGCGTAGTTTATTATAAAATACTAATAAATAAAATATGTATTTTTGGATTAAGAAGCATCAAAACCAGATAATAGAAAATACAGGCGCGACCACGATGCCATGACTCGGAGGTTGCGACCGGGTGGTGCCAGAACTCGCCGAGTTCGCACCGGACAGATCGATGCACTTCATTGTCAATAAGGTCCCTACACGTGCTTTTTGCTTTGAACATAGCATTATATGCCTAATCAACTAACTATGTTATAAACTTATAATTCTTTTTTGCTTTTGCTTTTATCTCTAATAATTTCTGTTGCAACACACGAGCCTTTAGCTAGTCCTTAAATAAAAGGCAATAAAGAAGTCACACTACCAAAACTTTCTAACGATTTTGTTATATACATCTCAACAAATTTCTCTTAAAAATTTATCAAATATAAATATAATATTATTATAGTGTACTTTAATATAATTTTGAACTGTTAAATTTGTTTTAAAATTCATATTAGCAAGGAAGAAAAAATCACAACATGCTTACATGTGAGGAGATTCTATTCCGAGAGGTCCGCTTCGAGAGGTCCGCTTCGTGGAAATAGCATGTTACTGCGAGATTTAGGAACATTACATATAAGTTGTATCGTAGTTACATGCAAGTTATAATATAATTACACTATAATTGTATTATATTTGCTTCTGTCAAATTTTTGTAATTAAATTTTTTTCAATAAAATATATAGAAAGACTCATTTTCTAACTGAAAAGCACAACAAACACATGTTATAACTAGCTAGATTTTTAATAATGTAGTCATTTTAAAAAATAATATACAAATAGACCCATAAAACACATCTTACATATGGACCCTACCTCAGCAGTGATATGTTGGTGCCGAGATGGGATATCTCAGGGCTAAATACTCCGGCGCTGAGGGTCTGATGGCGCCAGTGAATTCAGCGTCGATGAATTCGGTGCCAACCTCTCCCATCTAGACCTGCAAGTCCAATTAATTTGCTGTCAAATTTTTGGAAGAATTGATAATAATATATCTTAATTCATTATCTCTAATATATTTTTGTCTATAAAATCTTGATATGGAGGAGAATGTGCATCCTTTCCTCCTTATAACTAAATCCTATTGATTTGCTGTGAAATCTTGGACAAAAACAAATTACAATCATGTGCCACAATTCAATTTCCCTATATTTTTTCTTCAAAATTTGACACAATACAATACGGGCTAAAATGAATTAGGATACATTGATTTTATTGGTTAGTTTTCTTTTCAAAATTTGATAGCAAATCAGTAGAGTTTGAAGCAAAAGGAGTTGTTCTTAGGTGAGCGTCAAAATGACTGGTGTTGAGGTATGGTGTCGGCGCTAGTTGTTTGGTGCCGAGAGATAGATCCATATCTGAAATAAGTTTTTTAGTGGTCTGTTTGTAAAATATGTTTTAAAAAGTCTAAAATGTCAAAAATCCAGTTATAACTGGATGTGAATCTGTTTCATAGAAAAAAAAGGATGTGAAATTGTGAATCTTGACAGTAACTAGGAGGCAGGCACCAAACTGGCAGATCAGACTTCAGAGAGTTAGGCTGTGCTAAACCAAGACTGGGGTAGGAGTTAACTGTGGAAAAGAAGAACAGGAAAAGATTAAAAGATACACTAGGGGATCAGGTTAACACTAACGTGACGTGTCTTACTTGAGGAGGAGACAGTTGGACACAACATTTTCCCTGCAGTTTCATCTCAACAAGCAAGCACTGCCAAGAGCTCAAGACCAATGGTGTCACGTCCAAATCAGCCAATTTTTAGCAAGAAAAAGGCCGGAATGACTGTGGAAGCTTACAAGAAAGTGCTATTGCACACGTCGCAGGATAAGATAACCATCACTGGAAAATAGGCACCAAAACTGATCAAAGTTCAGAGGATTATTCATCTGTTCCATGCTGTCTGGTTCCTCATAGGAAAACAAGATATGTCTGATTTGTTTGTGTGGTGGGTAAAGATACCCTGGAATTTAACCTCAACCAAGATCTGAATGGCCTGAGAATTCAGTTGAAAAATTGACCAAAGCATGTGAAGAATGAACATTGTTTGGCAATCAATTTAGAGTAGAAACAATGTGCATGATTTCATTTGTCCCTTATTTTAAAATGTCACAGAAATGTTTAAGCAAACAAGTAAATAGAGATTAATAGGGTTGTTTCAGTAGGCTGATGCAGAAATTCACGGTTTGGTATTCACACTTATAAATAACCGTTTCATACAAAATAAAATTGTTAAGGATAATACACATCTAGTTGCAATACTGACATAAATTCAGTAGAAATAATTCATATTATAGAAATCTAAAGAATTTGAGTACACTACAAAATCTATATCCCTATTAAAAAAAGTAGTGGTGGTGACAGTTAATCTGCTACCCCGCCTACTCTCATTGTAAATTTTATAAGTTATCCCTAAACTTCTTAAAAAAAACTAGATTGATATGTAAAAGGATGGGTAATGCATTAATATATTTTTTATTAGTAGCAAATCACGGACATTTAGCTACTAATTAAAGAAGCCTAATGTTGAGAAACAACTGGAATTTTTTTTTATTCCTGAAAATACCCAGAGCTCCATGGATTCCGCCCCTGGGTTGTTTATTGTGTGATTCTTTTTTCTGTTTGTCAAAACAAACTCCAATTACACATGGCAAAAGAGTGTTAATTCTAAATCGGTCACTAAAACATCTTACACTGCATTCTTTACTTACATTTAATCAACTTCTACGGCATATTTTGCAATACGAGTTACATTCAAAAATCATATCAATTTATATATTTTAAGTTTTTTAACTAATACAATCATACAATAATTCGTCGCTCCATTATTTGTGCCATGAAAGGGGTTTCCAATCCCCCAAACAAACACCTTAGATTGTAAATTCTCAACCTCGCCATTTACTTAGCACAGAGTATATATCACGTAGTAAACTTACCGTAAGATTGTGTGACTAGGCACAGGAAAAAAAAGCAATAAACGATAATCCATATCAGTTACATATCACCATCACTAACAATAAACTTAAAAATCAAAACTAATATAAATCAGAAAGCCATTACACAATCTCTCCTCTCTCTCGCCTCTCGCTCTCTCCAAATCTGTGCGCGGTTGTGTGCGGTGATCCGGGGTGTCCCGACCGCGATCAGGGCCGTCGGCTTCGGGTCGGACGGACGGATGCCGGTGGACGTCGGCCGCGCCGCGGCCCGCGAGGCGGCGATGCCGGCGGCGTGCAGCTCGTCCTCGATTGGGAAGGACAGCGACGAGTGCTCGCCGCCGGGGAAGGAGGAGGAGGAGGGGGAGGAGGTGCAGAGCGCGTTCGTCGGGGGAGGAGGGGGCCTCGCGGGGTTGGAGGCATTGGAGGAGGCGCTTCCCATCCGGTGAGTTGAGTTCTTGCCGGGTTTTTTTTTTTTCTGCTGTTGTGATTTGGGATTGAAGGAAAAATTGAAATAGGTTATTTTGGGGGTGTTCTTGATATCTATTGGGTGCTCATTTGTGTTGAAATTGCAAGGAAGTTACGATCTGGGCAGGTTAATTTGTTGCAATTTAAGGGGATAACAGTTTGAATCGTGAGTTTCATTTTGTTGAGATGATATGTACCGTGGACTACCTGTATTGTTTGAGGACTATTTTCGGGCACTGATTGTGTTGTTAATTCACAGAGACGAAATCGAATTTGAGGTGATGTTAGTTTACTGGATATATTATGCCATTAGATTTAGAATTGAGTAGCTTTTAATTAGTCTGTCCACGATATCATACAGATTATGCTGTTATAGGTTGTGTGTTGGTCAAAATGCCAACTTTTGCTGGTGCTGGAGTGCTGGTGAGGTGTTTGTGTTATATGCTTCATCTCCGGACCTAACAGAGCATTAGCTTGACTCTACAGTATAGGGTGAACAGAAATGTTTTTTCTGGATAAGTAAAGACAAGTCGATGTCGAATGGAAAATCAGTTCGTTTTGTGTTAAATTCATGTGGTTGTTGAGTGCTCTTCCTTTTCATGCATGATTCAAGAAGAGACGATTGTGATTGTGATATATATTTTTTTTGTAGGAGTTGGTAGCTGTTGAAAGTTCTAGTGAAACTTAAACTTTTTACTTAAACCTTGTCAAAAGTCTCAAAGTTTACCGTTAATTAAGATCACTTTATCCACCAAAATTTTCAATTTAAAATGCATACCATCGAAATTAATTAAGCTAGTATATCTTCTTTAAGATATGTAAAGCTAGAGGAATTTCTAGCATGGAGAAATGCATGCTGTCAAACAATCATGGCATATTTGGTTGAATTATTCATTAACTGAAAAGGACCTGCTTCATGTGGTAGTGACCAGTGTTATGAAGCAACTTTCAAATGAGAAGGACTGCAGTGGATTAACAGGTACAAAACATCAATTATTGTCTAATTGAGGACCCATTGGTGCCAGTATCATCACTACAGTGAAGTATATAAGTGCAATTTTTTAACAAGCATGGACAAAGGTTGTACAAGCAACTCCTTTGCTCCCCTGGGTACAGAAGTTGTGATGTTTATCGTAGTGTTTTAATTCTTTATATGCAGTGATGTTTTGTTATCATGCTGTTTTCCTGATACAATCATACAAGTAGAATGTCCTTAAGCATCTTTTGGTTGTTTCATTCTATCCATTTTTAATTGTTTGGTTATAACTAATATTAGCTTTATGTGGGCTATAGTGATGGCACTTATTGGTTCAATCATCATTTTATTAGCTTTTGCAGTGTGGATGTTCACACTGCAGACATGATATGACATTTTTCTATATTTCACCTCTCTAAGATCCACATGTTTTCATGAACAGACGTAGCATCTCCAAATTCTACAATGGAAAATCAAAATCTTTCGCGTGTCTCAAGGAAGCTGTTTCATCTTGTGGCTCTGCAAAGGACATCGCGAAGGCAGAGAGCGCATATTCGAGAAAACGGAAGAATCTCCTTGCATACAGCATCATGTATGAAACTTCACAGGAGACAGCAGCAGAAGTTTATGAAACTGGACCCCCTAAGAGGCTTGCCAGTCTGAGCAGAAACTCTTTGGTGACCTTGGCTAGTAGCAGTTCCAGGAGCAGCAGTAGTATCAGCATCGAAGAAACCGAGCTCACTGAGCAGCTTCATTCTCCTCCGTCGCTTGCTAATGATGAAAATTCTGCGGTTTATAATGCTCCAGCACTACAATTAGGATCCTGTGATCCTAAAACATCATCTGTGCCTGTGAGGTCATTTTCAATGATGGATTTGCGCCGTCTGCATAGGCCAAGATCCTCATGTCGTCTCAAAGATCAGAAAACGACAGAGTAGCGTAGTATTCTTGATGTTTTACTGGGGCTGCTAGTGTCTTTCTGTATTGTGAATAAATAAGGGGGGAGTTTGATGGTGTTGTCTGTGCCTGCAAGATGATTGGGGCTACTGTGTTGTATGTAAATTAGCATACTACATACTGATATCGATGGCCTAAGCCCTAAGGTGTATGTCTGTATCATGCAAATTAACATTTGTAAATTAACTAAATCCTCTAGTACCTTATATTATACATTCTTCTGGACCCGCTGACTGTATCTTTATGGTGTTGCTCTTTTGGTTAGGAACATGGACCCTCTGGGCCGCTACGAAACCAGTAAGTTCAGTGCAGCCTGTAGAATCTACACAACATGAGTAATTTGGATAATGTACATTGATTTTTGCGGTTAACAAACTTACAGTGCAGATGATCACATTGATTTATACTAGACTAACTTAATATCTAATTTGATGCTTGAGTCTTGAATGGTTTTCAATGAACTCATTGATATGAATTGAAGGAAGAATTTGCACTTTTCAGTGCTTAGTAATAAGAAAATAGATGCAACGTTTGTTTTTATGGGACCAAACTAACTCTAATTTGAAAATGTAGGAACTATTGGACTCTTCAATAGCATTATATATACTAAGGCTCTCCTAAAAATCCTCACATTAATCTAGTGAAGGAAAAAAAAATCTAGAAATTCCCATATTGATCGAAAAAGAAAGAAATACTCAGATTAAATCAGGAAAAAGAAAAAAAAAATCTTGGCCATCTATTCATGGACTACCTCTCTGTCCCAAAACAATTATTGTAACATTTAAATCTTGTCTCAAAAAAGCAATCCTAGAATACTATTTTTCCCTTCAATCACCTCATTTAAATTTCTTCCCAACCACCCTTTAATCTATGTCAGTTATTTTGAAACGAGGAGTATGTAAGCAACATACGGTTGGATGGCTTCATTTGGTATGTCTGAGATCAGACGCTTGAATTTATGTCCTATTCAGTTTTCATACTTTGAGGTAGCTAGGACCGATGTAGTGCATGCGCACGGAACAAAAATTAAACAACAGTACATGTTTGCATGCTGCACAATCGCACAGCTAGCTCAAATATAAGCATTTTTAGGATTCAGAATTTATACACATTATAAGCATTACTAAAATAGTACTACTTATCGCATCAACCACCCTCCCACTCACAAGGGATACTACAGTCTTTCATCTCAAATCTTAATATATATCCACTAAACATGATTATATTTCATATTATAATTTTACAAGGTTGCATGCTGCCGAATCGAATTGCTTCATCTGCTATGTATATCATATTTAGTCTACGGTTGGTACATGCATGTTTAACAGAAATTTTGCGTTCTTATACATTTAGATGATAAATGAGGCAAAAGAGAGTAAGAGACTATAAAATTGATATATTATCTTACTTCAAAAATAATAATTGGTATATTATTCTCTTCACAAAATAGCTAAAGTGATTTGAATGATATGTACTATTTATTGTTAAAATACAAAGGTTATACCGTGATCCAAAAAAGATAAATACATTCATCCTAAAATAGGAAGTGCTAAGCATATGCTCGGGTTGTCTCAAATTTTAACTGATAAGAGAAACTAGACCAAGGATAACCCTGGAGATGGCATGCTTTAGACATGAGTTTAAGGTTTAGGGTTTAGTCCACAACATAGATCAAGGCAACATAAACATTAGTTCAATTATTCAACATAACGTATACTCCTCCCAATATAAATTAACCTAGTATGAGATGACATATCGTAGTGTTGTACAGATTCGTAGTATTAGAATATGTGTCACCCCGTACGTAATAGGTTAAATTAATATTAATTTGGGATGAAGGGAATACATCCTCGTCTAGAGTAGCATGCAACACCACGTTCTTTTTATCTTACTAGCTAAATACCTATGCTTTGCCAGAATGAAATGTATTTTTCGTGAAATGTTTTACCCGTTGTTTAATTCTATATGCCGCTATACATTTAGATTGATTGGTTTTTAATATAACGAAGTTTAGGAGTTACTCAAAATTTACGATGAAAGTAGTTGTGATGACGTATTCACTAAAACAACCACTAAAGCCTCACTAGAGCCTTTTAAAGTAATATAGTACATAAGTTCAGGGGGTGATTTGTAAAATTTACAATAAAAGTAGTTGGGGTTGGCAGATTCACTGTCACCACTACTAGATCCTTTTAAACTAGTATAGATTTGTGGGATTACTGCCGTAGATTATTTATCTCCGTGCTTCTAAAATACAATTTCTTAAAAATAAAACTTTATTCTGGTCCATTTCTAAAAAGAATTATGATTTCTAGACAACTTGTTCTATGGTATTTGTTTTATTTTTAAAATATTTACATATGTAATAAAACAGAAAATTCATGTCAACAGGAACTAATTTATATGAGAGAGTTCACCTCTCATCTATATCTCTAGTCTAACCTATTTTATTAGCCATGCTAGGTCATCGACTTACTTACCAGCCAGCCGTTGCTAAAATTTAAAATTTAGTTTTAAAGCTGATTTTGAATTCTTTTTCATCGTAGTTTATTTTTCAACGTTAACTTTTAAATGTGTAAGAATAAAAAAAACTTTTCCTTATAAATTATATTTCAAGCTGTCAAGAGAACCCCATCCGTTTCAAACAAAACCATTAAAAATATATGTACACATATATTTTGTCCAGTTTTGAAAGTCAAAGGCGTAAGAAAAACCTGCTTTGTAGTTCAAGGTAAAAGGTAGACTTTGAGCAAAGTTTAAGGGCTAAAGATTTTAATTTTATAATTATATATTTGGATAGCATGCATTCATAGATGAGTTCTTAAGGGAGGGGCGAGATTTAAATAGCCGTGCATATATACTTAGCTTAGGACAACCGGTGCATAATTACAAAGTAAAATATTGCAATAAATTATTTGTTGATAAATATCAAGTTTTTTTTTGAAAAACATTCTTTTTGAGGGGATTTAAAAAGTATTTTGGCACAAAGCGAAGAGATATTTAACTGTTTGAATCTCAGTCAAACGGTTGAACCAAGGAAGAGGATGGTTTCTAAGAAAGAAAAAGTGAGACCGGTTGTTTAAATAATTGATCAGATTTTATTTAGATAATAGGTCGAAATGGTTTACATCTCCGTCCTCTGCCAATGAGCACATAGCTAAAAGGTTTTAGGAGTAAAAAAATAAGAAGAACTGAATAAGGTGATGGAGCAAAACCCCAACTTCTGTTAATAAAAAATAAACTAAAATAACATTTGTAAAATCACGCAAATTCTAGCACAAAATTTTGTAGGTACCACGCAATCCAAAATAGAATAAAAGATTCATGGTTACCAGTTCCATGTGTGTAACACCATTGTGTGCAGTATCATGTTATTCCTGTGATAGCATCATAGATCAAGAGTTGAATTAGTTGGAACACATGACCATAAACTGTTAGATATTTTTTATTGTCAAAAAACTACATCATTATGGCAACACCAAATTGATCAACATAAAGCACTAGTTCCATATATATATATATTTTTAAAATCTAGGCACTTCTCTTCGCAAGTTACCAAAAATAAATTTTACATTACATGGAGGGAAAATATTAAAGAAAAAATGACACATATCCAAGCAAAGCGTGCAACATGACAGTCCAGTCAAAGAAAGGATGCTCTTGTGAATTAGAAAACAAGATTGTTTGTTACCCTCAATTTTCTCCTTGTCAGGTTATCTTTAGTTAGAATTTTCTCTTTAAGGAACCACGTAAAGACTTTGATTTTTATTGGTACCTTTAACTCCTATAAAATCTTCTTACAATCTTCTTACAGATTCTTACATTGAAGTTCACGATTGCATTGTACAAGGATTTGAAGAAAAATGGTCCGTTTTATGTTGCGACCAAATAAAGGACATCTCATTTAGTTATTCCAAACAAAAACATGTGGAATCATCATAGAAAGGACATCAAACATCATGTTAAAAGAATAGGTATGCAGTGTTCGACCCACATAGACAATGACAATTGTTGAAAAATCAGAAAGTGTACTTGACATTTTTGCATCTCAAATAAGGGCTCAACACATTTAGAAGAAAAATCATATCAGACGCCGAGAGCTGCAAACATAATAATCAAGAGCACAAATATATGCACAAACGGCAAAACTTTGTTTCCCAAAACATTGTCAAATCAAGAAGAAAAATGAGAAAAACCAATCCTACACATAACACATATAACCTCACAACATGTTTGCATATTGTACACACATAATCTACAGACATATAGTGCACAAAAACTAAACTTGCTGAATCAAAAGACACATAGAAAAAAAGCTAGCAAAAGCAAATATACCTAGGTAGTGTAGGGTGGACAACGTCGCGGTTGCGGTTCTCATGGCCTTCTTGCCATCATCAACAAGAATTACATGGAGGCCATCAGGGAAGAATGACAACATCTCCTTTTCCATTGCCACAACCAATAGAGATTTACACAATCACACACTGCTAGCTATGTACTACTCTCTTTTCACCGATGAGTGATTAGACCGCTCTCTTCTCACGGTCTTCATGTCATCATCGACAAGCATGACACGGAGGCCACTAGGGAAGAACATCATCATCTCTTCCTTCATTGCCATAGCCAATAGAGATGTACACAATCACACACTGCTAGCTATATACTACTCTCTTTTCACTAATGAGTGATTATAACCGATGTGTTCTCATGGCATTCGTGTCATCATCAACAAGCATTACACGGAGGCCACCAGGGAAGAATGACATCATCTCTTCCTCCATTGCCTCAACCAATAGAGATGTACACAATCACACACTGCTAGCTATGTACTACTCTCTTTTCACTGATGAGTGATTAGAACCACTCTCTTCTCATGGCATTTATGTCTCATCAACAAGCATGACATGGAGGCCACCAGGGAATAGAAGGAGAGCATCTCTTCTTCCACCGCCACAACCAATAGAGATGTACACAATCACACATTGCTAGCTATGCACTACTCTCTTTTCATTGATGAGTGGTTCGAACCGTTCTCTTCTCACGGCCTTTGTGTCATTGTCAACAAGCATGACATGGAGGCATCAATGAATAGAAGGAGAACATCTGTTCCTCCATTCTCACACAAGTCTACACACGGTGTTACTACTCACTTGTTCACTGATGAAGTGATTAGAAGAGGGGACCGAAGTCACTGACCAAGGAGAAGGTAGTGAGGAAGGTCCAGTAT